CTTTGTAAAATTTCGCCTTGTTGCAGGAGGATAATCAGTTGGATTTACAGCTGAAAGTATTGTGGGAAAATGGTCACTTCCACACAGGTCATCATGAACTGACCATTCGAATTCGTTATAAATATTTGGGTCTGTGAGTGATAGATCTAGTGCAGAATATGTTCCTGTACCAGGGTGTAAATACGTGGCTGATCCATCATTAAATATGCACAGGTCATTATTAGAAATGAAGTCTTCGAGGATTTTCCCTTTAATGTTAGTATCAGTACTTCCCCACAAAGGGTTATGACCATTAAGATCACCCATGATAATACAGGGTTTGGGAAGCTGGTCGAATAGATCCTGAAGATCAGACTGCTGAAGAGCTGAAGATGGAGAAATGTACAATGAACAAAGAGTGAAGGTTATTTGTAACGAAAGACGGACAGCAACAGCCTGAAGAGGACTTTTAAGGGGGACAGAGCTATGAATCACACCCTGCCTCACCAAAATAGAAGCGCCTCCGGTGGCTTTATCACCTGGAGGTGAAAACGAATGGAATGAATTGTACTGACGAAATTCAAAGTTGTCTGTATTTTTTCAGGTATGTCTCCTGTAAACTAAACACAGATGGCTTAAAATCCTGCGATAATAATTGTAAGATCCTGAAAATTGTTCCTAAGACCCCTGCAATTCCATTGGATTAAGTTCATAAAAATGCTTATGGTGGTTTGACTGGAGATCGAGAATGCAAGGAGTCATCACTCCTACACGTTGTGTGTGAAGAAGCAATCTCCATGTCAAGTGGTTCAAACGAATTTTGAACCAGCACAGGAGGGCTCAAAGAAGGAGAATCTTCCAAATGCTGAAGTGCTCTGTTCTTTTTCCTTAACTTTTTGTTTTCTTTTCTTGAAAGTTGGGTAACACTCTGTGTTGCCTGAGTTGAATTTATATTATCTGGTTGCGTTTCGTCAGTCTGGGAGGCTGATGAACGTTGACAATCGTTTGATGTTAGATCTGTGTCATTCAAGGTTATTTGATCATCAGTCACCCAAGATATAACGGTTTGGCATGCAGTTGAAACTGGTTGAGGTTTATAGACAGGTGTCGGAGAAGGAGAAGAAACTATGGCTGAGTATGTTGGTCCTGTAGAAGATTTAGACTCTGCATTTACTACTTTCTTTGCTTCAAAGTATGATATGTTGTTAGTACATTTGATTTTGAGAACTTTGGCCTCATATACAAACTTTGGGCAAGATTTGGAAGATGCCAGATGATTACCACCACAGTTAGCGCATTGTATGGTATCACTGCAGTCATTACTCTCGTGACTTCCACTGCAGCGAGAGCATACAGATTTGCCTGTGCAAGACCTTGCACCATGTCCAAATTTTTTGGCACTTATAACACCGGAGTGGATTTGGTACATATACCTCCACTCCGATGTTACAGTATCCAGCCTTAATGGATTTCGGAAGCTGTGTCATACCAAACGTGAATAGGTATGTATTTGTTTTTACAATGTTTGAGTCTTGTTTCCTGGTAAAACGCTTCACAGTAGTAACACCTTGGTCCTTTAACTCTGCCACAATCTCGTCTTCATCCATGTCGGATAAACAACGGGACCTGTCTCTCACAATACCTCTGCAAGTGTTCAATGTCTTATGCACTGAGACAACAACCTGTTTATTCACAAACTGCTGTAATCCCAGCAGATTGACAGATTGCTGCCTCCGAACACATTCTACCAAAAGTGAACCATTTCGGAGGCGGGTGACATTCTTTACCTCTCCGCAGACACCTTGGATGCCCTTGGAGACGGCAAAAGGATTGATATTTAACGGACTCCCATCATCAGTTGCAATAACCACAAATCTTGGCCAGGATTCAGTCAATAAAGGGGATACCTCCTCATCAGATGAAGAAGAAAGATGTCTCCGTTTATTTGTTTTAGACGAACCAGAATGCGTGTTTTGAGCCATAGTAAAATAATAAGGTTCGGCAACCCTGCCCCCCACCCGCCATCGAGTGTCAACATGGACGATGTTGCAGTGGAAACCAGACTGCAACACCAGGGTTACAGGGAGGCTATACTCCAGAAACACAGACATGAATAGCTAAGAAATCTAAAAGAATAAATGTCAGGCTGGTTCGGCCCATGACAGTAATCTCAAGAAACTCAGAATTCAGAGATCCATATCACCAGATTGGCCCATGAGCCACCGCCTTCTGGCACAGGACTCTAGGCAATGTAATTTCAGCAAACATTTGAATATTCAAAGTCAAAATGGTCTGAATTGTTCAAAACAGCAAATATTGAAAGCAGTTTCCATGCACAGGGCATGACGTGACCAGCCGATTGATTGAACCGGGCCAGTTCAACCACCCACCCGTCTAGGTGAAGTAAGGGCCAAAGTGGTGTGTTGGGCAAAGGAACACTGTTCCTGGAACCAGTGCCCTCAACCACCAGGATCCCGTCCTCCACCGACACAGGGGCGCAACGCCACGGCGAACAGGTTGGTGGACCAAATATGCTCCAGTGGGTCCACAACTAGGGGGTTGAAGGGCGCTTGGCGTGACCCAGCACCCACCACGAGGAGGTGGCCCTTCATGGAAACTTATTCTAGGGAGGGGGCAGTGTAACAAAAATTCATCTCTGATCTTGGCTTCAAGTACAGAGATAATCAAGCTCACAGCCATCAAAGTGATTCCAGCCAGGATACTAGCCTTATGCTGCATTTTATTAAAGTGACATACCTTTTGTACAGTCTGCATCCAAGCTACAGTTTTAAGTTTAACAGTAATATTCCACACAAGTAACGTCAGTCATGTTTACAGTCGCCATCTTGAATTTTCTGACGTCACGTTTGCGTATCATGTGACCTTACGTCACCTATTAATAGACCTGTCCAGGTTAGCGTCGGGGCGGCAATTTTGACTTTGACAAGCAAGGTACGGTTCCAGGGTTACGTCACAGCTAATTTCTCATTTTTCCATTATAAGACATTTTTATTCAATAACTTTAATTAACTAGGCAATTACTAACACTTGGTCTGCTCTCTAAGTATCTAGTTGTGGATAAGTGATATTTGGGGGGTTATTTTCAACTTTGTTGATATCCGGATTTCGTCTGACAGCTCCGAGAATCCGACAATCTATCCGGATTCATTCCGACGGAATATTCCCGGATCATATGAATCAAGTGTACAGGTTACAGATACAGATACACTCACAGTCACAGTTATCAATCACAAGTCACGAATGATTTATCGCCAGTATGAAATATTACAGTTCACAGTTTATTTAATGTTTGACAGTCGCTGATTGCAGTGTAGGAAAGATAGCCCGTCCCAACGTCCGAGACGGGTGAATTTTGTGGAGGACTGGTTAAAAAAAAATCTGGTCCGTCCTCATGTCGGGTCAGTTTTAGCAAACCAATTACATAATCATAATTATATTATAACCTTTTTGAATATTTGCTGCCAAAAGATAATAGAATAATCAAACAGATAAAATTATCGCAAACGAAATCGATGAGATATGTTTGCTATAAGAACAGAGTTCTCTCCCTTAGCTTCTTGAAACGAGTTTAGTAAACCAAAATGGCGCGACCCTCATCGGTCGGTCTGCTGCTATGACTGAGCGAATATACTCTTTTTTTAGTCAATGTTGAATGTGCAACTGGCAAGGATGCAGATTCAGACTATGACTCTGACTTTTCAGATCTTGATGGAGATGTTGATAACTTGTCTGAAGACTAGTTCTGTCATGTTGTAACCAGATGATTCCACTAGGAGAAATTTAACAGTCCAAGCTCTGTGTGTGCATATTAAATTATAGCTTAAAATAAAAGAAACCAGTTTTAAGTCTTGAAATGGTGTTTTATTTATATTTGGAGGACAGGCTAGATTTGGGCAGGACTGGTAAAAAAAATTGACCAGCCAGTCCTGTGGACAGGCTAGATTTTCTACATCTTTCCTACACTGCTGATTGTCTTCGCGATCCTGGGGGTCCAAGGTCATTCCGACATACTATGTTTGCATTATCAAGTTACAGTCTCTGCGGAGGGTTGCTACCACAGGGGAGTATTTGAATCGTCTACAGTTGAGACATACGTTTTTCACTGCAAGTTATGATTAGGATTTGGCCTCATTCTTACTTGTATCATTTTTTTTTTTAATGACAGCTTTATTGTACAGTTAATTCATTTAACAGCCCAGGGATCTGAATTGAGACTGGCACACAGTATTGCAAGTCTGCTACAGCCACGAGGACACAGGTTGACGAGCATGGTATCCAGCCCCGATGACAGTCCAGATGACAGTCGGTATCGTGTCGAGACCGTGTATTTTCATATTTTGGTGCTTTATAAATAAAATCGTTATTGGAACTTTATCTACTTGTGTGATCCTTCTGCATTTAGCCAGTATCGACGTTCACTATCTGTTAGGTCCTTGTGATATATTTTCACTAAACCTCGTCTCCGAGCTCTGGTATTTATTTTGTCACATTTTGTGACTGGTAGCAGCATCTATATTTTTTTTTTTGTAGTTTGTCTACTAGAATTTATCCACTAGTCCTTGGCCGTTCCGTTACAATATTATGTCGCTGTTTAACTCAACCATAGAAAAATATAGTCGACCGACCAAACGGCATCTTTCGAACAGTTGATCGTCCTTGTACATGTCCATAACATTGAAACGGTGTCTGAAAGTCATCTGAATGTGTAACTTGTCTCTCATAGAACTACGGTGACGAACAAGTTGAATCACATCCCTCATCTTTACTTAGACTTCAGATGTTCCCAAAGATCAAAGACAAAGTTCCCCGATTTATGACACAATTCAGTCAGAAGACTCTTTCACGATCCCGGGGCCTGAGGTTAGTTGCTATACATTGAACACATTTTAAAAGTTTATGTTTACAAGAAAATGGCCTTCTTGTCTTGTACTTTTTAAACATAAAACATATTTATCTAATAGACACTACAGTCCGTGCGCCAAAGAGTTTCCAAATTTTGCTAGCCAGTCGGGCTAGCTATGCCTGAAAGTTACTAGCCCACAAAATAATTCACTAACCCGAAATTTGAACGTAGACACTAAGCAAAACATTACAATAAGGTAAAATGCCATCAAAATCAAATAAGAAAACACGTCTGAATTTCTAAAATATTTTGTTTATGCTCAAATAATTTAAATAAGTCATCATTAAGCTGCTATTATGATGAACGTGTTTTTGGTTTTTGTGTGTTTTTTTCAGGCCATAATATTGCATTTGTTAAGTTTGTGTTATAATTTAACAAGTCGGTGAGAGTTATAAAGTTAACAAGTCAGTCTGGCCAGTGACTGTGGAGATTTACTGGCCCTACGTACTAGCCACGGGCTAGCGGGCTAGTGGCTATTTCGCACATTAAAACAGCAGATATTAGTACTTCATGTAGCTATCCCTTACAGTATGTCCCATTTCACAGGGTTGTGGTTCTTGTGTGGCGCATGGTACCCGACCGTCAGCTGACTTTGTGTACTAGTGTAGCCCTGTGATCAGTTGTTTTCAAAAACGTATACATTGTACAAAACGTGTTACAAATATGGGTTGGCGATAATACCGGTTAACCGGTATGTTGCAATTCGAACTTCATAATACGATATATTGCGGTACACATTTCGCGAACCGGTTCACCCGATACGATCGGCGGTTTCCGTGACCATGATCGGTAATTTTCGCGATGCAGTAAAAATACTAATAACATTTGTATTTCGTTAAATTATTATGCATTAATAGTTTTGAGAATGTTTATTGGTCATATACTTGCATCTGCGTGACTTTTAAACCATATAAATAAAAAAATAGATTGGTACCGGCTCTCATTGTAGGGATAAACAAACCAAAATTGCAGACGCTTTTTCTCGAATCCAAAACTTTTAAGCGAAGCCTTCATTTTGGAAACACATTAAATTCATCTCTTGCACAATCACATCTGAGTCCTGACAATGGCCAGTGGCATTGTTTCAAAAGAAAGAAAACATTAATTTCATTACCTAAACCATGTGTTACACTCTCACAATATATGGCAATACATATTGCAATACGACAACACATATCACAATAAATCGCAATACGAAAATTTTGGCAATACCCAACCCTAGTTACAAACTTCCTCATTTCTGCATACAGTTTGACGAGATTTTATTCCATTCAGATTCAGTTTCTTCTCCATGAAAATACAAAACGTAACGTATATATGCACGAGATCAATATACTGTAGATAGTACAACATAAAAGCTCCACTCAGATTTGTAGGAAATATTTATTTTCTCTTAAGTGATGTCATTCACTTATTGTAGAGAGGGCATAATTACCGAAAACTACATGCATTGCACAAGTCGGTATTTTTTATGTAATATAGTTTCAGTCAAGCAAGACGTCATGACTGTTCAATTACAAACTCACGCAGAACGATAACGGTACTTCTCCAAATCCCCTGACTATTTCCATTGGTTGTAATGGAAGAAAAACAAGCAGTTTGTCTGAATGTTTGTAAAGACTTACTTTACCTGCCACATTTATGCGTCACTTCTTGGACGTCGCGTAACGATAGTGACGTCATACGTACATCAACATGGTGATGCATATTTGGTATTTTCTTTTTGGTGAAGCTTATGAATGAAAATACATATGGTAAATTACCTACCCTTCCCCACTTCTGGTTGTCAAAAATATCCAAACAGGAAATATATATACGAGTTTTAATTTCGAACGTATTTTTAGCGACTGAAAATCAAGTTCCATGCCTATTGGCTGTTGCAGTTATGGTCTAGAAGCCAGACCCTCAAAATGGTGAAAATGTGGTGCAGTTCTGGCGACCAAATGGGATGCGATTTTTCACAATCAGGAATGATTAAGCTTTGATTTTAAACCGGTTGTCATAAACTACCATGTGTGACTACCGCGCAGGGGCCCTTTTAAGGTGCAACATTTCATTTCAGTTATGGTAATATTTTAACCGATAACTGGATCGTTTAATTCAACAACTTTAGTTTGGTGTGACCGATTTCCATCAAATAAGTAGTTTTAGAATGCTCAGAGCATGATTTATAATTGTGGACAATAATAATTATATATTCGTGGTTGCAACAATATTTTGGTAAGGTCAAAGGTTAGTTTGATAGAAAATGCATTTGATGAGAAGAATATGAGATAAACTTGACAAAATATAGGTAATTTTACTACAGATATGGTATTCTAGATTCATCATTGTCATTTGAAGATCATATAAACGTTTGGTTGGCAAAGTATGCATGATAAACCATTACAAGGAAATAAAAGTTGGTACTTTCTATTTAGATCAGTAAAATATTACACAATGCCTGTTCAACAGTAACAGCTCCAGCTCCATGCTTTACAAAGTATCAACAATACCAAATATGTCGAAGATACTTTTGAACTGTCATTAAAATCACACAATATAACAGAAAGCTCTCAAATGTATAATTCTGAAGAAAAACAAAACCAAATCATACATTGAGTATGATAAAAAGAATAAAGAAAAAGAATAATGAATTTGTCCATGTAGTTCCAGATACCTTTCATGCTCATCAAAGAAAGATGAGTAAGTCATGTCGTCATAATGCAAGCAGCATTTCCTTCATATCATTTATTACCTCTTGATCTTACTTGTCAAAGTGCATCCCCAGCTGACGTGTTAGTCAATGTCGCAAAGGTCAAGATCACGGGAACATGTTTCAGGTCCACATCCGCATACAGAAGTACACAATAGGTTCAGCCTCTTACAGCTACATCTTCCTGTACATTGACTCTTACATGCGCAGATATGAAGCTGAAGAAGGCATCCAGGTGCTGGAGGTCCATCAGTAAGGACAGGCTTGCATACATTGCCCCACCCATGCTCATCTGGATCTGGAACAGTCGGGATCCCCTGAAGAGACCGCTTCCAAATACCTGTTTGATAGTTTGCTCTCTTATTATGGAGCTTCAAAGTCGACTGGCATGGTGGCATATTCATACTATTCTTCTGATACTTTTCGATACCTACAGTTCTTAAAGAATTGACAGAACTGCTACTGCTTGATGAAGAATAACAAGATATAATGGATTGTTCACAGTTCTGCACTACCTCATCAGAAACCTCAAACGATTCTCCCAGACTTGTCAAGAGATGTGGATTTTGCTTTAAAGCCATCAAGGCTGTTCTCTTACCAATGCCATAGAAGCTTGAAGATGTATTGCAACCTGTTATTGCGTGCATTCCTGCCAGTGAGGATGCCACTGGCTGACCAAGCAGATCCAAACACATCTTAATGTCAATGTATCGCTTTTTGTTGTCTGATCCAGTTTCACAGAAAAACTGTCCACCAAAGTTTTTGGCAAAGACAATGCAAAGAACTAGCACATCTGTATCTGGACTACTGATGACCACTGTTGAGAAACCTTTATGAAAGGCGTCAGCGGCATGAAATAACATCCTGGTGTCCGCCTCTTTATGTGAACAGAACATGTGCGTTACTACCTCAGGATCCCCAGTAGCCCGAACACAGAAACACTCAAGACCTTTATCTGAGTTGCATCCAGCAACAAGAAGATCCTGTGATTCTCCTAGCTTGGGACCAAAGCATTTCCATGTCTCTGCTAGAAAGTGTTCTACGGCAGATTTATTTTCATGTTGGGAAATGACCTTGTCCCATTGTTTTGGTACCGGAACCAAGGGTCTGATTGCTAGTTTGATACCAGTATTGTCAGTCCGTCTCTTTCGCCCATTTACTTTGATTGACTTTTTCTTGTCATATCTTTCACATACTATGTCAATTCTTTTAGCTCCAGCAGCTCTTGAAAGGAGTGCATGAAATAACTTTAATGCATTTTCTTCAAAATGTTTTCATGACAATGCGATAGATAGGCCAGGAGCATTAGACATGACATTGGAAAAAAATAGTAGAAAGCTGAATTTTTCAGGAAAGCTTCAGAACATCATTCCCATGTACAAGATATAAAGTTCTGCAAATTCTACCTTGTGGCTTTTTCAAGATGGCCGCCAAAATCATTAAAATGATTATGTAAACAGATATTTTGTAAAAAATCATGCCATGTGATATATCAAATGAAAGCTCATCTTACAGGGATTCGATATCATGCCGTGAGTCATTTTCAAAATGGCCGCCAATTTCAAAATGGCCACCATTGTCCTTAAAATAATCAAAATAATCTCACGAAAATATTTCTTTTTGATTAACCATACCTTGTGATATATTAAAAGAAAGCCCTTCTCACAAGGAGTCTAAATATATTATTTTTAACACCGCACATACATAAAACAATTAAATTTGGCATGATAACCACACATTTTATGCTTGTGCTTTTGGTACCAGACGTCAAAGTGGCTACTCATGGTTGGTTAATCAAGACAGCTGTGGTCACCAAATTGATGGTAAATCACTTGTACAATTATCAATGTCATAATTTTTAGTTAGTAGATTTTGAAACTCACTGTAATCTTCACTCTTTGATTGATGTATCAGAAGGTCTTTTTGTCAATCACAACATCTCATTCTTCAATACAGTACATTTTGGCAGGTTGGCAATCCTCGACATCCAGTGCAAAGCGATGTGCACTCAATTCCTGCTCTTCGACAACTGCATGGTCTCCGGCACTCAAACTTGCATCCACAAGATATCATCTTCAAGACTTTCTCTGGAGCAATTGCTCTATCTGTCTCAATAGGAACAAGGGCCCCATCCTTGAATTGCCATCCCAAATCTGTTGGTGAAAGTTGATTCCAGTTTGAAACCTGAAGAGGACACAGAGGCTCGATGAATGGACTTGAAGTACATGTTGTTCGTCCAGTGATGTCGAGTCCACAGCTCCATAGAGTTTAAGCATGAACATCTCTCCAACTTGTGCAATGTCATCATTTGAACTACCAAATTGAAGGAAAACATCCAAGCAATCCCAATTGGGCCTCTCCTGGAATAGAGCAAGAGCTTTCTTTTTCCTGTTATTGCATGAACAAACATCAGATGCTGTCATATATTGGGCATGGTTTTCTGTAAAGATCGATGTCATTTGTGGCTTGTGCAATCAACAAAACCAACAGGTCCGTGTCGTTCCCCATGACAACAACAGGTGATTGGTTGTCTCTGGCCTTGTTAATTGCAGTTGAAGCAATCAAGTAGTCAGCATCAGCAGGGCTCTGTTGCACAGCTAAATCTTCTCTGGCAAGTCTTCCCTTCAATAATGTTATGAAGCGACCTTTGTTCTTGTTGCTCAGAAAACGTTTTGATGAAGTTGTTACTTTCATGATTAAGATGATATGTTCGGCTGAGCAGATTTTGTGGAACACGCACTGCCATATCCATCACACACCACTGAAGATGCTGAACCATAATGTTGAAGCAAAAATGACATAGCTATCACATATCTGGCTGTATGTAGCATCCGTGGGCCAAGGCAAACTTTGTAGCAGGTGGCCACCGTCAATGACATAATGCGCTCCCTTTGGATGGTCATTGTGGACTTGAACTTGTGATTTCAGTTGACTCTTCATATTCTTTCGTATCATCACATGAATAGCATCACAGAGTTAACTTGGACTGGCTCTCCTCTGATGTTGATTTGATTCTTTTCCTCACTGATACTTATCACCTTTTCTTTGCCTTTCAACTTTATGTCAGCAAACATCTGACCTGTCACTGCTGAAGCTGCCTTCATTCCTATAGAAACTGCTTTGCTATGCAGATGAGCGACCCATGCTCTTCATAGGAGAAAGGAGAATGATTTTTCAGCCAATGGAAAAATGTTCCATAGTCCTTGTTGTCTCTCATGATGTTACATAAATGAAGGTCAACATTTTGCTCAGCTGTTTTGCCGTGCACTCCTGTGAACCTCTCTAAAGCATCACATATTGGTATGCACTGAGGCATTGCATGGACCCATTTGGCGAGATATGCTGTCAGTTATACCACGAGCCATGCCTCCACAGATCTTCAGCAGTCGCATCAGATCTTGCTCGATCACTTGGTCAGTGAAGTTGCCACTCCAGAATTTGTCAGTTCTACGGATGGTGAAGTACCCTTGTTCTGTGTAGGCCTTGAACTGATCTGGCGACATAATGTCCTTCAGGTTTTTCATTTCTTCCAGATACAGACGTGCAGATTTGGCAAGATGACCACCAACATGGAATAAGGGAATCATCTTGCTGACAGACAGCAGATGTCGATTCCAGTCTCCTGTGCGCTCCGGGCGAATGAACTGCTGAGTCAATGACACTTGTTCCTAATAGTCTATCCAAAGTCTACCTGTCCTGCTTTTCGATGAGACTTTGATGTTAGTTTTCAACGGTTTCAGCTAGCCGTAGGATATTGTCCTGCTTTTGAGAGTCAAGGGAGCCAATATCGCATTTGCCACCTAACAAACTGCCATGTACGGTACAAAGCTTTTCCGCATTCAAAGAATCAAGAACATCTGTTGATTGCAGTAGGATGGACATGATAGCCGCAGATGACAGCAGATGACTTCGAAGTGCACGGGCATAAGCATGGCTTGTCAGCATGTGGATTACAGAATTATGTGCGTAAACAGTTGCCCAAAGATCTTCCAAGCCGCTTCCACCCATCACATATATAATTGAACCGTTGTATGACATGTATTCATGTAAATGAAACCGTCCTAATTTAAGGACAACCCTGTTGAGCTGTGGATGTGCCGATTCCACAATTTCTGCTGCTTTAATGTAGAGGGGCTGGTCAAATGTTACTGGACAAATCCCAAGATGTTGGTTTTCAGCCAACAACCGTACAAACGCTAGAGCAGAGTAGATGGTGTCGGGCCTTCATGGGTCCTGATTGACAAATGGCAAAATCTGAATTCTGCTTCTTTCGTTGTTGTCTCCAGTTACAGTTGACTGCATAAATCTGCTCCATGATGGACGTTGTGAGAGTGGAATATCAAGTGAAAAACTTGCTAGCCATAGATTGTCCAAAGGTTTTGTCAAGCGAAGAACAGGCACAGTTGGTTTGGGTAGTTCAATTGGTCCAATCTTGACAGACTGTACGCCCGATGTAGAAGGTTTGTGGTATACCTTGACAGGGATCTTTGTGCCCTCAGCTGCTAACTCAGTTGATGTCATGATTTCAGTGGAGCGAGGTATAGATATCTGAATGGGCTCTTTCCTGACTGGCTTCACACATGCAATTCCACCTAAAACATGCCACATACCAAAGCCAATGGTAGTGCTAACATTGATATCAGCATTGTCAAATATGAAATTGACAAGCTCACCCTCAATATAAAACAATTTGTCGCCTGAAAGAAGTGCATAGTACAAGCGTGGGACCTCTCTATATTCATCAGCAAAGGAAACAGGATATCAACCAATTCTCTGCTTTCATACTTGCGGTTAATGTAAGTGGATATATATTTGACGTCTGGTACCAAAAGCACAAGCAAAAAATGTGTGGTTATCATGCCAAATGTAATTGTTTTATGTATGTACGGTGTTAAAAGTAATATATTTAGACTCCTTGTGAGAAGGGCTTTCTTTTAATATATCACAAGGTATGGATATCTTGTGGATGCAAGTTTGAGTGCCGGAGACCATGCAGTTGTCGAAGAGCAGGAATTGAGTGCACATTTGCCAACCTGCCAAAATGTACTGTATTGAAGAATGAGATGTTGTGATTGACAAAAAGACCTTCTGATACATCAATCAAAGAGTGAAGATTACAGTGAGTTTCAAAATCTACTAACTAAAAATGATGACATTGATAATTGTACAAGTGATTTACCATCAATTTGGTGACCACAGCTGTCTTGATTAACCAACCATGAGTAGCCATTTTGACGTCTGGTACCAAAAGCACAAGCATAAAGTGTGGTTATCATGCCAAATTTAATTGTTTTATGTATGTGCGGTGTTAAAAATAATATATTTAGACTCCTTGTGAGAAGGGCTTTCTTTTAATATATCACAAGGTATGGTTAATTAAAAAGAAATATTTTCGTGAGATTATTTTGATTATTTTAAGGACAATGGTGGCCATTTTGAAATTGGCGGCCATTTTGAAAATGACAAGGCATGATATCAATATATTTCGAATCCCTGTAAGATGATCTTTCATTTGATATATCACATGGCATGATTATTTACAAAATATCTGTTTGCATAATCATTTTAATGATTTTGGCGGCCTAAGAGCGTAAGGCCTGGATAACAGCCATCAAGTCAAAGATTCTGCAAATTGTACCACTGATAGATCATCATCGCTGATTCAAAATTTTCCTCAATGACTTGCATGAGACCAGACTTTTGTGTTTTTCGCATGGATCCATCTGTAAGAGCTATAGACAAGATAATATTTGTCAACTCATATGTGAATAGTTCGGCCAGAGAAAACTGTCTCATCTGTGCAACAATGACAAGCCTGCTGAAGAGTTCTCGATCACTGGTTAGTACACTGTTTCTTGAAGCTGATTTCACATGTTTCTTTCGAACATGGTCAAACGTTCTCAAATTGTTCTTTATTGGGTCAAACAATCCATTACCTGCTAGAAACCTTCCAACAAAGTTATCTCTCTTCGCGCTTCCATGTTCAACAGCACGATGCAGATCGTCCTCAACCTCTGAAGGAGCTACTTCTCCAGACATCAAATTGATGAGTGTTTCACTTTCATTACTCGCAAATGGATTCACTGACTTCAGAATACAGTTTGTCACATTTCTAACATCCTCTTCATCTCTGCTCAATCGCTTTGACCCAATTTCTTTTGGTTTGCATACAGATGTGTTAGTTAGCTGTTTGAATCCATCGATGAACAGTTTCCACTGACTGTGAAAATCAAGTAACTCCACCTGCAGTTTTGGAATCTTTGTTCATTGTCTGTTCTAGAGCGAGATCAGTAGAAACTTGGGAAAATGGCATATCTGATCGAGCAACAACAAACTCTCCTGTCATGAACTTGTCATGCACCTCTCGTGTTTTTTGTAGGCACTTCATCCATGCAAGCAAGGTAGAAGTTCCATATCTCGAATAGTTATGTCTGACATATGCAAAGAAGTATGTCAACATAGCTGCAAATGAAGATTTATGAAGATTCCAATTGCCTGATCTTTCAGCTCGTATGAATTGCAACAATACTTCAACCATGCAAAGGTATTCATTCCAGAAACGGAACATGCTCGATTTCTGACATTCATTTTCTCTGAACAAATCCACTGCGTTAACATATGATGGCAACCACTCATGTATTGCCTGCACAGACTGTGCAATCTTTTGACGATCATCAGATTCAAAGGCAGCTCTTACGTTCTGACCATGAACCTTCCTTTCTTGCAGAAAACCATCATCTACTGGCACTTTGTCAAGAAGAATTCTCATCATAGCTTCATACGTTCTTTTGTGCGTTCGCACGCTTCTGTTGTAAGCTTTCCCACTCATCATAGAGGAGATGGAACCCTCAGCAAATGAACCACTTTCAATAAGGATATCCTCAAATCCATTTGACTGAACACGCTTTCCAATAACAGCCAGAAAAGCTAGCAGAATATGAAATCCTCCGAGCCTGAGAATTAAATTTTGATATTCACTCTTGTTACTTGCACTGATGTCAACAGCTTTGGAATAAATAGCTTCATCAAGGACAAGAACAGTGTGTTTTTGTCCTATTTTCTCAGTAATTCTGCATGCCAAGTCCAGTACAAGATTAACTGCATCACTGATATCAACGGCTTTATGTTAGAAGTAATCTGGTTAAAACCTGTCCACCCAGGAAGAACCTGATGGTCTTATGGAACATATAAATGCAGTTTCTTTTCTGGTCGCATTCTTGCAGTAATCCACATAAGGTCAGTTTCCTCGTTTGTGAAGGTCTAAGACAGATCTTAAATTTGTCAATATTTGAATACAAGGCTTGTGTTTCTGTCTAAAATATGATTTTATTGGTCTATCTGAAATATTCTGAAAACTTCTTTCACGTCGAGATGTTTTGGACACATCTTACCCAAAGCTATATCTACTTTCTGGTAGTCCTTCTCGTTGCATCACAATCATGTTTGTACAATGAGTTGTGTTTTTTCCATCAAGGGTTTCTTCGGAGAGGTCATTGTTGTCCGCAGCAATTTGTGCAAATGTGCTCTTTCTTACACATGACGGTACAACAACATCATCTCTGTCAGGTTCCTGAGCAGTACCAACAGCTGTTAAAATCCTCCGAACAAACTCGTATGCGATGCAGTGTCCAAACTGATTGAGCATGCAGTCTTGGTAGCTGCGAGTTTGTTCATTCTCTCTTTATCTGTTTATTCCTAGTAAGATGATTAACAGTCACAGGAAGTCCAACGTGTTTTGGCATCAACCTCTTACCATTTGAGACACAAAACAAATTATCTTGTGCGACTGACATAATGTGACGCAACTTCTCTCCGGTTTCCTGATATTGTGGTCCATAAAGTAGTTGACCAAGAAAATCCTTGATCTATTTCAACCTGTTCATCCGATATATTCTCTATGGGTGGAGGCCATGCAACAATTCCCTGTGTATTTAACAGCTTCTCTCTAAGAAGACTGGCAGCTTTTGTGAGGATAATGTCATCCGACATTCCACTTTGAATTCTCTGGTCCTCTTTTACAGAATCTGTCAAGCTATGTTCTGCAATTAAGCCTGATGCTGACTCAGCAAAGACAAGTTCATTCTTTGTTGGATCCTTTCGTGTGTGAAATGATATTTTGTTCCCATAGTGATGTAGTAGCCGCTGTTTTAATCGACTAGATTGGTAGCCTTGACAATCAACGTTCATGTCTCGAAGGATAGATCTCAACTTGTCCCTCAAACCCGTAAGTTGTACAATCTTATTGCAAAAGAAAAGTTCATTGTCCAGAAAGTCGGTCAATGTTTGGAAAGCCTGTACTACGGCACTATCAGCATCTTCTTTTTTGTCCAAACGAGCGATGTGCTCTGCGGATCTGTACGTTTTTCGACATGATTTATGAAATATTAATGCATTCCTCAAAATTTGAGATTCTTGCAAATTCCTTAACACATGGTCATCATTTCGAAGTGAGGCCACACGCTTCAGTGTTTCAGAAGCTTGAAGTGACTATGTTTTTTCCAAATCCAGAGGAGCATATAATACATTCTCTTGGTTTTGATGAAGAATGAATGGACCGAGTCATGGGAATGAAGGAACCACATGATTCTTCAGATGCTGAAGTCGTATGTCGTTTGAGATTGTGTTTACTAGTGAAACTTGCATAGCATGATTTATGCCATTTGGGATTGAGCTGCATCAAGTTTTCAATGTTTTTGTTGATTCGTACGCCCTTAGGTCAAGTTGCAGCACACCAGCAATTTTT